ACTGAAAGCGCCTGCGTCCCTATCAAGTGACGAGTTCCAATATCGCAGCAAGCGCAACCTATACTCAGGTGCTGCAGGTTGTTCACCACCTTGTGCTTTTTCGTGTTCCGGTCAAAGAATGTAGCACAGAGTTGTGAGCGTCCAAGAACAATTGCTACTGGTACTAGCGTGTTATCATTTTTATACTTATTTCGTGCATTTTGAGTCGATTTTGCCGCTGACGACTTGCTTTCAGTTGTCGAGATTCATTTCTCAGTATCCCATATATGGTTCCGCGGTGGAACGACATGTCACAGCTCCGAAAGGTGAATGATGTAAACGTTATTAACCATAGTCGTCTGTAAAATGCAGCCTTTTCAGCTCGAGATCGCTCTCAACGCGACATTAGCAACAGGGAACGCCCTGAAATGCTTGTGCCGCAACGCAGTAACAGTAGCGCAGAAATGCTGCAACAGCGGTATGGTGGATTTCCGTTTGCGGATTTTTTGTGTCAACAACATCATTGCATTGTTGTTCAACTGTTTGGCTAACGACAATCCTAGTATTAGCTCTGATTGCAGGAAGATGCTTCCTGCCTATAGGCAACGAGATGATGTTCTGCGTGCTATAAATGATCACAAAGTTGTGCTGATCACGGGCGGTACCGGTTGCGGAAAGACAACGCAGGTGCGAACTGTTCGATGGATTTTTAAAGCCACCAAGACTACGGAATAGATTCACATGCAATCATGATAAGTCAGTGATGATCGATAGAGTAAGCTCGCAATGAGCAGAGTTGGTCCACAAAATATCGCGCTGGATCATGGTTAGTACAATTCAAATGCAAGTTCTTCATATTTTTTTGGACCTCATATTCTCTGTGCCGTTCTAACTGAAATATTACGATATCATATAAAAACCATACCAGCAACAACTTTGGGTTAAGTCATGGAGCTAAGTGTTGTTGCTCGTGTAATTCAATTGATAGTTGAGCCAATTTTGGGGGTCTCTCTGAAGATACGACGAAGATGATACAATGTTTTTATTCGGCTAACGTTTCGGCCAGTCGCCTTCGTCAGCGCCTGGAAGCCAAAAAATATTTGAGACTCATCCTGACCAAACGACGTTAAGACCTCAGCTTAATTCAGGTGTGGCCTATAGATATCTAAGTAAGTATTGTAAGTCACAATAGGTAACCCACCTTAGATGTCACAAGAAGACCCTCCTTTTTTGTATAGCGCATTTATACTATTCGCACTGGGAGGCCCGAGTGTCCTGATCTCTATCTCGGACGCCGGTGGCAGTTGAAAACCACACAGGTCGAGGAACGGGCAAGCTCGTTAGTTACAGCCAGACATCCATTCTTCCGATTCATTTTTGGATTTTTAG